ACTTCCCGCTTTCCTTCTACATCAGCCTTTGTCACCATGATGCCCTGGAGAGTAGACAATAATAACGCATTGATATACATAAAATGCATCTCATCTTTATAAACATGCACGCATATGCGCGCAAAGTAAACAAGCCAACCATTGTCATGACCCGGACTGGCGGAACGCACCCTTATGTGTTAAGCATGTTGCCAAAGCCAAGGTAAGGTGTCAAATTCTCCAAAGCCCGCGATTATCTAGCAGTTGCCACGCCACTACGGCTGAGTTCGAGCGTAAAATTACGTTTGACCTCTGGCCATGAAGCCGTGACTCTGGGCAGAAGACGAAGTCCCCAAAACCCACAATTATCTAGTAGCTGCCGAGCCACTGCGAATAAAATAGGTGTATCAATCATGCCACGACACTGAGTGCCTGCAAAGCACACTCGCCATTCCAATATCAGGGTCTCGACGATAAACACCTCAGAGAATCAGCACTAAGGTCAAGTGTTTCTGAAGGGAAGACAGAGAACACTGGGAATCCACACTCTACAACCAGCTGCGTAAAGGAACCACTGTGGTACAGAAACAACGCAGAACAGTGCTAGACAAAGCGCGATGCATTAGCAACAAGCACTAGTGTGGTGCAAAATACGCCATGCATGCATAAAGAAAGGTGTGGTGATTAATAGAGTTTCTTATCAAAAATTACCCAAAACCCGAACCCACGGATTTGACAAAGTAGATTTTACTAACGAGTAATTACAAACAAATCTGCCACTTTACTGTACATCAAAAGAACATTGAGGCATCTACGAAACAGTTGAACCAATATTCCAGTAGAGGCAGCAAAAAATGTAGTCAATTGAAAGAATAACAGGCTAGACTTTTCAACTCAAAATAACTGTAACGCATAGAATGGAGTTGTAACGATAAATTCCCTATCTTGACAAAAAATGAGGCACGTAAGCACTGCGCAACTTAAAAGAGCAAGTACGTGTAGAAATCTACTGCACTACAAGCCACCAGTAAGAAGTCCCAATGCCTCATCAATCACCCAAAATTACAGCAAAGTCTATCCCTATCGAGGAGTTCTACTACTTCTTAGTGGATGCAGAACGCATTGTCTAATGACAAAGGGAC